CGGTGTTAAGAGCTTCTTTTGTTTGAACTAATCCATAGCGTCCCATAACAGTACTAACAGATGGTCAGTTTTGCAACTCAATCACATTTTCAATTAAGGCGTCAAAATGCACTGCAGGAGAGTAAATTTGAGGTATCATGTTTTTAAAATAATGAATCGTTGCTGCATGTTCAGCTCAGAATGAGATAACTGCAGATTTGCTGCATATTCTGCTTAGATTTATCTCTACTGATTTGTAACTTGTCTGACTGCATTATGCACAACGAATAAATTATTTATGAAAGATAATCAAATTAAAAATCGATGGAATATATCTGAAGAAATGTTGAATTTGCATCAAAAACTGCAGAGCAATTAATTAATTACTTAATACAAAAGAAGAGTGGGCAAACGAGAATGGAAGAGCTGCATTTGTATGACAATGGCGTAGCATTTAGAAGAAATGAAGAAAAATAGAGCAGTGCAATCATTGTTTCATAAAAATCTATTCAAAACGCACCTTCAAAAGTTACAATTCATAAGTAACCAATTGGAAAAGAAGTGCACAAAATCAGAATCTGTTTCTAAAGCAAAACGACATTGCACTTTAATTTCATAATGACGCAGCTAGCTAACATTAAGTGATCAACGAGCTACCAAACAGAGAATGATGTTAAGCGAACGAAACAAATGAGATGCAGCACAAGAATTTAAAATGGAAGACTGAAGTTGTTTAAGCCCTAGTCTGATCGTTTGTTTTCAAGCAGTTACACAAAACAATGAACGGTAACAAGGTAAAACAAATGATGAAACTTATAATTGTTTGTTCATAATCATAATAAATTTATTCAAAACTAAAAAGAACTAGCAAAAAAGGGCGATCTGTTCACAATTCGACAAATACAACAGATAAGACAACTTAAAAAATGCTGTCTCGAATATTTAATTTAAAAAAAACAGCGAAACGAATGTCTCATAGGGATTTCATGTAAATAAATAAAGAATTATTGTTGTCCGTTACAACAGATTTGAACGATTAAAGAGTATTAATCAAGTAAAAATTCATATCAGTCAAAAACACAAACTTGCATTCTGACAATGCATTCAAATTGACATAAAATTTTAACGTTAAAACTGCACAAATTCACAACATATTAATTCTATGAACATTTATGTATAAATATAAAATGAACAGTTTAGTGAAATGAAATAATAATAATAATGACTTATTTGAACGCATAAACAAACAAATGAGTAAACAAAACAACACAGCATAGTAACGAATGGCTAATAAGCGAATGGATTGCCGAGTAAAAGAGAACGAGACAAGAAGAAAAAGATGGGTAATACCCGAGATGGAAAGCTGATAGCAATAGTTTATGAATATTCGATGAATAGGCATAACGCAATGCTGATAAAATAACTGAGCTGAATTAATAATAAACCAAATCAGCTTCATTTAGTGTGCATTCACCAAATGTTCCGCTGAAGAGATACGTACATCTTCTCGACAATAATCATAGTCCATCTTATCCATTCTTTTCATCACATCAACCCAAACCATCTACCAATCTTTTGAGATCTCCAATGTCCATGTCCACGTTAACCAATCATTTCCATCATCATCTGTCACTTGCGACTTTACTTTATACGTTCCTCTATGAATCATACCTGTAAATATTAACGTTACTATCAAACATCACTGCTGTTACATTTAGTCTTCATACCTGAAGGAGCCTCATCAACAGGTGTTGTATATGATTGTAGTTCCATTTTTGGCGCATATGAACCAACCATGAATGTATCATGATCCACTGAAATCGATCACAATAAAGGATTAACATGAACAAACGAATCTACTTCAAGTTAATGAGAATAATTCGATAAGTTACCAGCAATTGAATGACGTATCACTTTTTGCTTGTACTTCAGACCTGTACAGATTTCGCGTTGCACGTAGAAATCAAATCGGATGCGATATGCAGTACCTTCTTTTATTTTGAATACCGCATCATTCAAATGATCTGTTAACAGAACATCGCATTAACGATGGCATTCATAAGCACCATGTAAAAGATAGATACCTTTATCAAGTTGCATTGTAATATCATCACGACCCTCGACAACCAATGTAATCGATTTAACAAGTACATTCCGCGAATCCGTTGCATCAACGATCACTTGCCCCGATTTGGCTGCACCGAGTAGTTTTTGTTTATATCTGCAATTATCAACCATATGTTATGCATTTGTAAGGACAACAAGAACGGATCAGTTCATTCTTACCTATTGAGACTTTCATCTTCCGCATCTGCAGCAATTATTTCTGAAACTGATTTCTGTGCTGGTGGCACATAATTCTCTTGTTCGGCCGTATTCACTTCCAGCTTATCGATATCTTTCTCAGCAGTGGTTCTCTCCATCTGTAATGAACAATAAAAAGAACAATAATAATAGTGATAACAACAATCCAGATAATATTAATAACAATGATGAGAAGAATCAAGCTGTTAAAAAATGTAAATAAACGTGGATATATCTAAAGCTTAATGCTGAACATTCAACGCTTACGCCAACAACTCATCGACCTACAACTAAATGACACAAAATGCCATACATTGAACATGTAAAACAACATCAAATATAATAGCAAATGGATGATGCATAAAAGCCACAGCATTTGCTACACAGATACGATGTGCTCATTTCTTTCGTCCTATATTTGTCACAATAAAAATATATCACTTCCAAATCAATAAAGCATTTCTATAATACAATGTATTTCAGCTTCACTATTCCTTATCAAAAACACCGCATACACAAATTGTGTACAACATCCACGATAAATTACAAATACCATTCAAAATCATAACTGCTACAATACAAACAGTTTGGCTATACCCCAGCCATGAAAACAGCTTTAGACACCTTCACTCAATTTAATGATCCACTTTTTATGACTGTTTCACAAGCTTATAGGTCAAAAGTGGTTAAAAATTTTAGATATACGATGAAACTTTCAAAGCTGAATGTGAGTAAGATGACTAAACTGAATGTGTTTCGTATGTGCGTAAAATCGCTCGTCAGTGACTAATTCAGTGTCATGCAAATTGGTTCTCAAAATAGACCACTTTGTACTGCTCCATCCGTACGAGGTTTAGCGATTGTATTTTTTCTCTTTACGCATTTCTAGGCACTGAACACACTCGTCCCACCATTCACGAAACCAATATCGCTCTTGAAAGGGCACATTAAAAGCTGCACAGAAGACAACTAACTGCATATATTTTCACCCAGTTGTGGTTATATACCAGTATGAGAAATAAATTGAAAATAATTTTAGAGAAAGTTTTATTGACAAACTGGAGTGATTATTTTACCGGATCAATATAAAGCGTAGAAACTGAATTTACTGGAAAAACAATAATAATGATATTAACAAAACACAAATACACACAGCTAGATGATTGAATTAACTCACGAAATTTGCTTTTTTAGCAACATAAAAAGTTTCACCGAGCCTATGGAATAAGTTGGAAAAATAATAAATCGAGGTACACAAACAAGATATTCAATTATTTGCGTATGTGTATAATACAAGAATGGAAGATTGAAAACTTGACAAAAATCACTATTATGATGAACGTAAACAAATGAGACAATGAAAGCGCGTAAGAAAGAAATAAATAATGTTGCAGAATTTATAAACAAACGTGTGAACATTGACAAAATTCAAAAAATGAATAAAAAATAAGGAATAATAATTCGCTTAAGGTAGCTGCAAATATTAAACGAACCATATGGAATAATATATTATTTATCATATAATTAGATCATTACCATCGTTTCTTTACATGCAAACATTGCTGAATGTTCTACGACTGAAACATTCATAAATTCATTATAAGAGTACATTCAATAGGTTTATGTGAAAATACAAGGATTGAGTCGAACAGTCGAATCTTTTAGTGAATCCAATCAAAAATTGATTCAGCAGTCAAGCACGATCGTTAAAATGTTGAACATCCAAAAAATTTTCATCAGTCGATGCAGATGCAACTTACTTTGCACTAAAACATGAGTCAACTACGCAAATTTGATAGAAATTTAACAGAAATCACTAGGTGAACAGAAAACGAACTGGCTTAAGATAAAATTACATCGCACGCTTATTCGAAAACGATCGAAAAACATTTGACGAATGACCAAATTTGAATAAACAAAATGAGATGTATAAAACCTATACATAAAGAAAAGAAAGAATGACGAAAATCACAGATCAATGATACTATTTCATATGAAAGAAATGCATGATTGAGAAGAGAACGACCACGATAGCAACAACGTAATGAGGACTTAATGAAAAAGATGAGTGAACTTTGAAATGATTATTCTGTAGAAAGCAATGAACAGAAACATTAAAGTAAACATCAAATGATTGTTTTATTGATTATTTCGAATCAACCATTCATAAGAAATTTGTGGAGAGTTTTGCAGATTTTGAATCAAATTTTGCTGCAATATTCTTCACCATACTCGATTTACCATTACTATTGCCAACGATCACTGGTTTCGTCGGTGGTCTCGGCTTTGCAGCTCGTTTCTTCCTCTCGCTCTCAACGACCTCTCCCTCTTCCACACAATTACTCACCTAGATAATCATTGTAAGATACTTATTAAATCGTAACGAAACTTCAATAAACAAAAATGAATCAGTGCAACAACAATGAAAGGAACCCATCAACTAAACTAAACTATTTGGATGAATAACAGTATTCTTACTTGATCGTATCCAGGCGGTGGTTTCCTATGAGCCGGAGGAGGGGGTGGCGGCGCTTTCACTGGTCGATTTGTTGTACTCTCGACTTGATTCACTTGTGGCTTCTTACTTGGATTATTCCACTTATTACTATCACTATTATTATGATCAACTTTTGGACGATAATCATATGCTGGAGGAACTGCGTAGTGTAATTCATCATTATGTTCAGCGTATAAAGCATTCAACACATCTGTATCTGGTCGTACAGGAATCTGCATTAACGAATAACGTTTACTGCACTGACGAATCAGATGCAACGGGAAAAAGAATAATGGATAACAAAATGATACCTTTGGTGGAGCATTTTTAGGTCGTTGACTAGTGTTGCGTGCAAGAAAATTGTTATTATTGTTATTGGTAGAGTGACTAAAACTGGCAGATGGAATGACGGGTGGTGAGAAAGGCGGTGGAGATGGCTGTGAGTGAAGACGAGCGTTGTTTGTCTTCGAATTGGTGCTACGCCTCAAAACATCTGACGGGTTATCCCCCCAAACAGCATTCAATTCTGCAGTTCGTATCGGTGGTCCAGGTGGTGCTGGTGCCTTGCGAACGGGCACTAGTAGTCGATGCAGTTTCAACACTTCTTTCAAATGATGCCATATCCTGTAGATGTGTTAGTACATCATTCGATTCTCACCAAGAAGTGGTCATTGCTTATAACCAATCCACAACGCTACTTATTGAATGAACAATGACGAAATACAAACAAAATCAAATACAAACAACGTCTTACTGTTTATGTAACCAAATATTCTTCTTCCGCTTTACAAAAATAGACGCAAGAATAAACACAATCGCAGATAAGAGAAGAAGCCAGAAGACGACGTAACCGACATGAATGACACTGCCTTCAGATGCCGGTCCACTGTTCACTGAACCACCCGGACCCGGTATTGCACAGCTGATCCCACCATAACCAGGCTCACAATGACAATTACCCATATTGTTGCAAATACCCGCATCGTTACATCCTTCTGGATCACACTTCGGTGCTAATTTCACTTTATCACTCCGATTTTCACATTTCGATTGCACACACATCTTTAATTATTCGCCTCTTTCAATCATTGAACACGAATCACTCAGTCTTCTTCTTCATTTCATTCCCAAAACAGAGGTGAACAAATGAAAAAAAAACAGACACGGTCAGAGGAAGCACCACATGATGCACCATCAGGAACCATGCCGGGATCAGGTTGCCTTTTGCCACCAACTAATTTAGTCCATATCACACGACACGCCACCTCTTCACCACTCGATAGTCGCAAAGCGGTATATGCCGAATAAACACTTGTGGGATCACCAAACGCCAATTTTTCGTTTTCATGATTACAATGTAATCGGCCGCACTCCACATCTCTGAAACATCATTCATATCGATTGCACTCCGACTTAACAAGCAATACTTTAGTACCGTTTAACAAGCAATACCGTTTATCACAAGTAGCGAATTGGTTCGTGATTTGATCATAACCACAGTTACCAGACGAACTACCATGAATATTCAGTTGATAACATTCTTTTGCAGCATTCGAACCCGTTGATCCCCATATGAAACGACACTGTTGATCACGATTCCCGCACTTACCATCATAACAAAAATCCTTTAACAATCCAACACTAGCATAAACAAATACAGGTAAACAACACCCATTCAACTCGTTTGAAAACACAACAGCTTTGAATTTTGGAACACGATGATTTTAAAGTATGCTTTAGAGTGTGACAACGATCAAATGAACTTGAAGGATAGTTTAGATTGATTGAGCACCTTGAATTGTAGATGAGTTGTGAAAAAAAAAAGAATTAGTAACCGTAGGATCATCAGGACATTTCAAGCCATCTTGCACAAAGAAATCAGCGGGACAATGCTCCATCTGACCATCACAGTACTCAGGAAGATCGCACGAATTTGTTGCGTGACGGCAGATGATCGTTGCTTTTTTCACTTGGCACGTCTGCGAATCACAACATTCACCACTAGCACATTGCGCTCCATCCACCAATTTACATGTTTCTGCATTACAACATTTACTTGTACATAGACTCTGAAATGATACATGATTGCTCTTCATAGTTAATCAACAAATACATCTTTTTTGAAATATACCGATAAACTTACAACTGTTCCACAGTCGCACTCCTCTCCGGCTTCCAGCAAACCATTACCGCATCGAGCTCCACCGAACGCACCTTCTGGAGCGTTTTGCAAACAGTAATCGGCTCCGCGTTTCAAACTATGTTGTAAATAACGAAGACTACAATCTGACCAAAACGTCGGTGGAGTGATGCTGAAAGATTTGCATTAAATTCGAACTGAATGAATGACAATAAATGAAGAATACCCGGTTGATGGCGCCATAATGCATCCTCTTGACGGACACTTACAATCTGTATAACTGCTGTCGTGCTCCATACCAAAATTATGACCCATTTCATGCGCTATTGTTGCGGCTACGAATGCTGCCTTATCACTGTGATCCTTCAAATCATAGTATCACAGTAAGATGAACAAAAATAAGCAATAACAATCAGCACAACTCACGTTATCCACTCCACCCGAATAATCGAATGAGCACATTGTTCCTTTATATGCCTTACCAACGATGTTATTATCAAAGTGAACATTTCTAAAAGATAAAACAATGATAAGAAAAACAACAAAACAATAGTATGAAAAACGTTAGAGTTGAGTGTAGAATAAGCATTTTGACTAATCGAGATAATACAAAAAGACGTATATTCGTGAAGTAAGAGAAAAGAAGAAACGTTAAGAGATGAGCATTGTCGTGCGGATGTGGCTTAATGAGTTTTTTACGATATTCCAAAAAATTTGAGAGCGTTTTGTCAGAATTCGAAATCACTTCAATCGGATTCGTTTCAGTCCAAACATCAGCCCATACCAAAACAACACGTATATTTAACGGTTGATAGAGCTGAAAGAATGAATGAAAAATACTTTGAAGATAGACGATTTTTTCCTCTTTTTTTTGACTTTCAACGATGATCAACGTAACAAATTACTTCAAATGTGTAGATGAATATTTTATGATGTGTAAAGTTGCTTTCATTCTGAAATGAACGAATAAACGAAGAGAAAACTCAAGTATCGAGCACAATGACGAAACAAATGCCAGCAAACTGGAGTGGTGGTATTTAGGGTGAAATGTAATTTGAATCAAAACATCAACTCACCGAATTCACAAAATTCGCCAATGTTGAAAGACGTTCCTGAACCTCGGTTGTATTCTTTTCATATTTCACATACTAAACAGTTGCTTCGTTTACGATCGATATATACTCAATATTTATACTTAATTTACAAACTTCTCCAGAATATTTTTATTACCACAACTTTAAACTTTCATCGACTTTAAATCAGTGCTAGAAATACACTTCAAAAAGAAGCAAACAATGTAAATAGCGGGTGCTCTGAAATGTGACCAGTAAGAGAATTTTAGTTGCAAACAAAGTAACAGAAATCAACTCATCGCAATCCTATATCTGCTATTAAAAAGCACCCGGTAGAGTGTCAGGGGTCTACTAATCAGGGTCCACGATTAAGCTCGTCAGATTAGCCTTGTGTTTAGCGAGCTTGAATCTCAATTCTGGACAATATGTAAGACTAAACAAAAGCACGAATCCAACCGTAACTCATAAGTTCAGCCTATTGTTCGGTGATTCCATAGTTTAGGTTGTGAATTGCTTGATCACAGTTATTAAATAAGATTCAATCACATAACAACGTAACATAATTCCAGAATTAATTCAAAAAATTACTGTTAAAACAGTAATAAAATCGACTTATTCTGATGGTATAACAAAACGACTGGCAAAAAATTTAAGGATAATTGTGCAGTTAAGGATAAAAATTTCCTATTTACATTCCATGATTAGGTGTCCAACAACCTGAAGCATGTAATCACCTGACAGAATTCGAATAATTCCAAACGAGTAAAACAAAATCTAGGATAGATTTGATTCCATCTCAAGAATCAACGATAAACCTGTTTTGATCTGAGCATACATCAAAATGTTCGGCAAAAACTAAAACAGAAAATAAGGATCTATCATCCAGCTCGTTTAGACAATTATCATCCGAAAAGCTTGTTGATTAAGCTTAATGATTTAGATGTGACGAAGATGAGTGCAGACTGCGTCACAACCTAAATTAGCAATTGTGTCGAGCACGCTACAGTTAGCCAAACAATCAAACACTCAATAACAAACCACAGAATAATCAGCAATTAGTGCAAGTTCCACATATCGCCAACGACCATCCAAAAACTCGGAATAATATTCGGCCGTACGTGTTCCACCAACGCCTTTTGCAGAAGAAGATCTATCTCGTTTGGCCCTTTCTATTTTTTCGTTCCAATCTAAAACCAAAATCAAACATCCATCCATCTCTTGCACCACTTACACAATTCATTTGCACTCATCAACCAATATCGCATTCGCACTCACCACATCGATTCGACTGTTGAGGTAACAACACGAAACTACCATTTACTTTCACATCCAACACAAACTTTCGACCGTTTATCGTTAAAATTCCACTAAAATATCGAATTTCTTATCAAAATTGAGAGAATTAATAACCGACAATACAAAACCAAACAAACCTAATTTGATGAAGTGAGCAGACACTCAATGCACTATGTTCGCCAGCTTCATTAACGCCTTCATAATGACAAACCTTCAAAGATCCCAACGCCGATGATTGACGCTTAATAATCAATCATTAATTGTAATGAAGTAATTAAATATAAACAAATATTGTTCTTTGATTAAGCCGATCGACTGAGATCTGATCGAATGTTCAAAAAGTTTGATGATCATTTCTAATCATTAGAAAATACAACATTTACTACAAAAAGACTGTCTTAGTTGCATACAGAAGAACTGTACCTTTGATTCAATTGATCCTTTCGTAACAATTGCATCTCTGAAATGAAAAATGCATGAGAATTAACTTTTTTTCTCGTTTCAGTAGCCAAGTTTTGGTAGAAGTGCTAAATGGCAATAAAAATGATGATGGGGCGTTTGCAGCTAAGTTCTATGATACGCTGAGAACAATGCAAGAAAATTTGATGAGAATTGAGATGGCATATGGCTAAGATTTACTTGTTTTGAATGAATTCGATCGCTCGTGACTCGTTAAATTCATTTGTTAGTCGAACTGGCAATGTACGTTGCTGCTGGCTCTGAACAGATCACTTTAGTTGAATAAATCAAGTATAATACTGAGAAACAACTGGAATGATCACCATCAAGATTACTAACATCGATGCACTCGTGCAATTAATCATAAAGAAAAGTAAAGCAATGTCAACACTTCTTCCTGGTAGTATTTTATCCATCTTGAAATAACACCGTCCTATTCCTTAATCCACTTCTGATGCTTGCGAGGGAGACGGCGTCTCTATTCCTTTTGTTGAAATCAATTACATGTAACAATAGAGACCATGCTTGATGAACACTTAGATTAACACTCTGCATAACTGCCTTACATTTCAGGCATGATTCAAGAAATTATAGTTCAGGTAACATTTTGTTATGAAACTTATGGACAACAAAGGATTACGAAAAAATTACATTCTTAAAGACATAAACAAATATCAGTATATTCATCTAATTAGTTAATCACTAAAAACACAGATACAGCGTAATGATCAATCATTAAAACAGTTCGCCTGGACAACTCACATGATGAGGACAGTGCTGGATAAAAAGTAAATTGTGCATACTGCTACTGATTATATAATAAACACCTGTGTGAAAATGCAAAAAGGCACTAACAAGTTGTAAGAGTTTGAGTGCGTCTAGACTGTGACCACTTTTAGAATCGATGATACGTATGGGGCATTCAAGACCCTCGTCGTGCATAACCAAAATTTTAATAGTTCAAAATGCACTGCAAACACCGAAGTATGTTTTAATGCATCAATAACAACCACTTTTCAGCGTAAAACGATAATCGCATTCAGTAAAATAAACAATATAGTCTTTATTACTGCCGTTCTGGTGGCAATTCATTTTATCATGGATATGTCCTTCGATTTCGAGCAAGATTTTTCCCGGCGAGCGGAGCTCAATCCGTAACGTATCAATTTCTGGTTGTGCCCCAACCCTGAAGCTGTTCAGCCTCCACCAAATGACTGTGCTACAATCAGTTCTTTATCGCACTGATCTGATGAGTGTATAAAGCTATGAACTGATATATTTGCAATCATAATCTCAAACAAATATAAAACCAGCTACATGCCAAATGGCTCAGGCTCGATAAAAACAATTATACTGATACATCATTCGGTTTCGATTAAAACTTTCATCGTTACCAATTTTATTACTGCTAATATCATTACTAGTACTGTCATTATTGTTATTACCATTAATACTGTCATTACTGTTATTATAAACAATACTTCTGGTACCATTATTAAGTCATAATGAATCAAGATTTCGATAAGGACCATCCACGATGAGCATGCGTCTAATTGTACGAAAAGAAGGAGAAATCGATCACAAATATTACTGCATAAGTTGAATTTTCAAGAAATTATGCGGTATAAGTTGTTCAAATGTAAACAGCATGTATTCTGTGAATGAATATGATAAGCTGAGAACAGAAGGCAATTCTGAAATCGAGTTATCGAACGATCGATATGCTACGACAATACCACATCAATAAACTAACCTTCTGAATGTAAGCAATATGCATATGGATTGTGACAAACAACATACAGCGTATAAGGAAAAATAGCAAAAATTGGAGTGGTTGCGCAACGAATCAATGACTCATCGATTAGATGTTTATAAGTAGATTGTTAAAGCAAACTAGATGGTCGATTGCTAGCAAGAGATTATGAACAACTAAAACTAGAAATTGAAAATGAGCAGTTAAATATTGAGAATAAAACGAAAGGGGAAATGAAACGTAATGAACGAAGAACTCGTTTGACGAACTGTTAATCAATAAATAATGAATCAAGTTCGAAACGGTACCAACAATAATGGTGACAACAACGTCAATAGTAATGACCATCTTAATAATGGTAAATCTAAGAAGAGAATACTAATAAAGCCGAAATAATTTTGTGGACATTCAACGATGAATCATAAAACTAACAAAAACAAACAAACGGACAAAGAAGATGTTCAAAAAAACGGATCAAACATTCGAATTTTCGTGAATGTTTTTACTGAACGGAATATCGCAAATCGTCGATAAACCTTAACATATTATAAGCAGCTGACAGTGGACGAATGAATGGTCGAGCAAAAGTGCTCTTTTCGAATAAGTGTGGCCAGAGAACGAGACAGGACAGCAGATCAATTGCCAACCATTGAACACTGTCAAATGTACGGCGCATTGAGCAAGCAAAAATAAGTGAGTACTGAAAGTACATCGTGCACATGGATGAAGAAGCACTTGTCCTAACTAACGTGAGGCCACTATCACTGATCAATACTGTTCCAACGTTGCTTTTTCGGTGCAGTTCTGATTCGGAAAAAAGTGCATTTTTAATGAAAAGCAGTGAATAAAGAAAGCTAGAAAAGAACCATTCCACTGGTCATCACCTCAAACAAACGATAATCAAACAACGGAATAGCAAATAAGAGGCTCAGTGCGAATAAAACATAGTTGTGTCTGATGCATTCGCATGGTATCACGTAAATCAAACTGAACACTCATTCATCCGTCTAACATTATTCCACTCAAATGATCCATCAACAATTCTAATGTCTGTTCAACTACCCTTGTAAAAGAAGAAGAAAAGAATGTGTCTTATTAAAATATTTATTCGATGAGTCACTATGACCATAGAGTATAAAAAATTAATAAATTACTTTCCTTATTCCAACTGAATAATTAATCAACATGCAACATGTATTCAACATGCAGAAGGACTAACAAAACAGAACAACAGCTAAAATTAATTTTATGATTGATGAGAAAAGTGATTTTCAGTCGAAGTCGGGGGAAACAGGAGCAAGCGATAGATGGATGGTAGCCTAAGAATGAAGCGGTCAATTCTGCTGAATCATTCGGAGACGAGCTATCAGGGTTTGAAAGTGCTTAGGTAAGATATCAATGAACAAAACTCTCTAGTGTGAACAATTGCTCCTCGAACATACACAGCGATCACAAATGTTTATATAATTGTTATTTGATACCGTGTAGATGAACTTATAAATAAACAAATGAATGAATGAATGATATATGTAGGTGAAAAACACAAAAAATGTGAATACGACCAAAGTTCAGGCTTATCACCACACATCTCTTTGTCCATATAAATTCTGAGCAAATCGCATTTGAAGAAACAAACCAGTGTCATGCTGATTTCAACATGGAAGTCATTTAGGCTAGAAATGGACACCAGTGCGCTATTCCATCATTCCGCTACTAGCGGAGCTATTTCTTTCAAATATCGGAAGCTTGTAGCGATGACTCCGGCTACAACAATTTTTTAGCGACATACAGTAGCGATAACTCAAGCCGCTTTCTTTGGTTAAAGCCTTAGCAAGCCACTTTTTCACGAAGGTAAACGCTTCAGTAAGCTTATTCCGCTAACTTTTCTCTGCAAGTGAATGCATATTTTTGTCCAACCTTAAGGTATGTAAATACATACTTGCACTGTAACACTTATCGTTATCACCAATGCTGACACTTTGATTAACACATAAACATTCGGTAATGAGACGGGAATTTGGTGTGCACTTTACGTTCACAGATAATTTTGTTCCTAAGAACTGTATCATTTTTCGATGAACTGATTGTGAGCTTCTTCGAAAGCAACAAATACGGATTTTCATTGATAATAACAGTGAATAGCATCACATAGCGAAGAATCGTTACAATATAATAATAATAATAGTAAGAGCGATAAATGAAAATAAGTTTTGTTGATTGGTTGCAGCAACTACCCAAGTAGAGAAGCAAAAAAAAAAACGATGAATAATTCTTACAGTTACTTACTCAATAAGCAAATCATAATCCAACAGTCTACCATTACTGCTAACTAAGTGTTACCTGAACAAAAAGATTCGTTCACGTAAAGATAACGAATTGAACGATCGTTTCACCGCAGATCAAAATCAACTAAGCACATTATATACCATTAATGAGAATAAATTCATAAAGTGCCAGCGTTTATCAAAAAATGCTACGAGTCAACAGCTAGAATATCATTTTAATTTCACACTAAAACAAATGCAAAAGCAAATATAAATTTTTAAGAAAACATTAAACAATGACCATAATATGAACGAGAATAATTTAAAAAAGATAACAATAATAAGAGTATTTCGACAGATCGAACACATTAACAACAACATCAGACGGAATCGCATTGCAGTCAACAGGACCAAAGCAAGAATAACGTTCACAGCTGATTTATTCAAGAAGAAAACAATCGTACATGGACGTGTTCGGCACTATACACGATTGAATGATAATGAAATGAATAAAAATAAAAACTGAGAATGATGATAAAACTTTATCAACGACATGTCTCAGAGAATGATTTGTTTCGACAAATGGAACACACCTAAATAAAGCCATCAAATGAATCAGTAACGAAAAGTGCGTGGTGAAGTTACAATGAGTCAATGAAAAAAGAACGCTGAAGTATCACAGCACTGTAATAAAATTATGGAACACGATGAAACAAACAATTACAACAAAACTGAGAATATTTCAACGTAAAACTACTTAATTTGAAGCCAAACAACAGATTTGAGGAGTGGTCAGATAGGAGTGCTCTTTGCTGTTTGTTGAAAAAGAAGCAACAAATGCAAAGACGCACACCATAGATCTCATAAAGTCAATCAAAGGAATAACGATTTGAATTTGATAAATAAAAAAAGAAAACAAATCCCAATAAATCTCTTCAAGCAGTAAAACAGGGGAAAACACAAATTCAATACCATCATAATCACACCATTACAGTCCCTCAAACATATGAAAGGGGCAACTGGGAGAGAGTGGTGGAAGTGGAAGACGAAGGAATAGGCGTCAAATCAGAACAGAGACTGATTCGCAAAGGGTTGCGATGTTATCGCTTGTAGTTCTGCATTATCACGACGATAAAACGCATCTAATTCGTCTAACTCTTTCGCGAATTGTGCTTCTAATTCCTGAAATAATGCACATTATTTGTTAATCGCAGATGGCAATTTATTCGATTGACTGAAGTGACCAAACTAAACGATAGAATAACATAAGCTATCACTGATCAAGTGATCAACCAATCAACCATATCACATCACTAGCAAGCAATCAATTCTCGAGTAATATTCAATGAAATTCACCTGTTTACGAAGTGGTAACTTGGCCTTCCAGTCAGCCACAACCTGTTCATATTCCTTCTCATAGATTTCCAATTTACTCTGCTCGGCTTCCAATAACATTTTTCGCTTTTCATTCTGAAAAACAAGTTGTAGATCTGTCGAATACAAAGAAGATGAAATAAGAGTGAAGGCATTACTCACATGCAGTTCTTCGAGCTCTTTAATTGCAGCTTGATTTTTGGCACGCAGTTCCCTGAGTTTACGTTCAGCTTTCAACTCGTGATCATTCATCGCATTCTTTACACGCATCTTCTCTTTCTCTTCAAATGCTCGCATTTTTTCGTTGATTATCGACGAATCTTCACCCTTCAACAATATCAATGAATAACAACGAACATTATTATTAAAATAATTATGCTTAAAAACACACTGAACAATAACATTAACGATAATCAACAGACATCAAAAAAGAGCATTTTGCATCATTCATAATGATAACCTAATCAAGATATATGATAATTTAATGAAATAAATGAAACAAAATCTATCCCACTTGACAAGATATGCGTAGACTCTCTTTGAACATGGCAATACGCGTTTTTGACTCAGTACGGAAATCCTTAGGCAGTCGTTTCTTATAGACTGCATAATTGCGTTGTGCTTCATCTTCGTTCATCTCGTTCACCTTACGCATATGCTCCAATTCCTAAAATGTCAATCACATCCAATACGTTAACATATTTCATTATAATAAATAATAGTTAACTAACTCGTTGATGTCTTGCAAGCATTTGCGTACGCTGTAAATAGAAACGATCCTTAAGTTCTTGCTTGTAAAGAATATGACGTTCCAAAGTTTGCTTTTCTTCCATATCCCATTCAGACGCTTCTCTCGATCTCAAATTTAAAACCGATTTTGTACTGTTTGTTTTTAAACGAAATGTCGACGAATATTCTTTTCCACCCAATTTAAACAGACAACGATAACGCGAATAAATCAAAACAAAATTCGTTTCTATTTTCGCTAATTCAAACAAAACGAATCAATTTTGACCAAGTCTCAATCCTCAATGCTTAACAACAAATGAACAACATTTAACCACCAACCTAAGAACTGCATGCTTTTGCTGTTGAAATTTCTTTTCTAATTGCAAAATGCGTAGTTTATGTGCGAGTTGTACCTTTCTCAATGTGATCTCTTGTTCAGCTTGTTGCCGTTCCAAGAATTCACCTTCCTATAACAGTAATAATGGCAAATAAAACATCAACAACTAAAGCATCTACAAAATCGACAAGAAACATACCCTACGCATTTGATCTCTATCCAGTTCATCTTTTCTAACTCGGAATAAATCTTTTCGCTGCGCTTTCGGCATCGCGTCAACCTCCATCTTCAGATGTTTCTGCTCGTGTTTTAACGATTCTCGAAAAGCACGCAAATTCCTTTCCTTCAAATACACATCGAACGATAAATACTAATAATTAAAAAAAATTAAATCAAATCGAAACCATTCCAACCGAACAGTTCAAATTTGGATAATAACCCGTCGATATCAACCATATTCTATATGCAGAATAAATGGACAATAAATAACCAAATCCAACCTGTTCATATTGAATTCTCTTCTGTGTTTGCTTCATATCTTCGGTGTGTGAATCTTCCGCTTCCTTCATTTGATGTTTTTGTGTTCGTGCTAACGCTTGCAATTCTAGATCTGATGACTTGATTATATTCTAAAAACGATGATTATAATCAGTCAGCTATTACTTGCTGATATGGATTATCAATACATACAAATAAGCGAGATACTATTAGCTATGACACCAACATTATTTTCATTTCTTGAAATCAACAGTTTACCTCCTTCTCGATCGCAAATCGTTTTGCTTGTTCATTTCGCTGCGAATCAGCTTTCGTATGCAGTTCTCTCAGTTGACGAGCCTCCTCTCTTTGCAATCGACGCAAATCATGCAACTGTTGCTTTCTGAAAAGAAACCATAATCATCATAAATATTGAAAGAATCGCATTAATCACATCTTGCAAAGCAACTACTTCCATCAGTCTCGACACAAACTAATCAACGCAGGAAAAGTACAAATGGCTGCTTGATTCATTCAGTCTCTTCTCATTCGTTTCACATTTCAGCAACAACAACAGAACAATATAAACAATCATTAAAAAACTGGTCAAAAATAATCATTACAACTACAGTACCAGTAACAATGACAAGCAATAAGCATATTTCACCTTCTAATCTAGCAAAGAAAACAATTCACAAGCAAGTTTCTCATACAGCAATCAATGACCATTCCTCATCAATAATCAAAATTGATAATATCGCAGTTTTCTGCTAAACTTTACATCTACAATAATAGCTGCAACAACAACAACAACAACAACAACAACAATAACGACAACAAAGATATATACTGAAATATGCGTTTCAAATGACCCAAATATTACTTTCATCAACCAACTATTCAAATTATTCAGTACATTTCATTTCAACTAACTCACCGATTCAGTGCTTCGTAAAGTTGAACAACTCGAAAACTTAAAAAACCCAATAGAAAACAACAACAAAACAGAATGCTCTTGTGTACATTTACAGTGTATCCAATCAATGTGATTGAACAATGAAAAGCGTTCATTTGAACTTACGATTTACTCGTTCAAATATAACCAAATAACGCTTAGAATAAACAGTAGAATGAACCTCAATTCATAGTCTTGCTTCACGCCGAAAACTTGATGTGTTGTTGACGTCACCTGCACACCATCAACCATATAAATACGCGTCTTTCGAGTCACCGTTTGTCTGTGCGGTGATTTCCTCGACCCGACGTTATCGGCAGCATTCTTCAATTGATCATATCATCAATTATCATACCACACATAACTGTATTAAGAACAAACATTTCTCTTTGGCGTTTGATTGCTATTCGTCGTCGTATCAACCGTTGTTACTTTCGCGGCCGCCGACTTTAGTTGAGCTGAAAGACAGAATGCCGTCAACCAGTGAGCATACTGGACGTAAACAAGGGGAAACTATGTGAAGGCCAATAAAATTAGACGAATATCCCTACCCCTGCGTTCGTCCTCGTAGTCGACCGGAGGCTCTGGTGGAGGTGGTGCAGTGAAATACGACAATTTGTCACTCTTCTGAACGATTATAGGAAATTATTTCATAGCTTTTGGATAATAACACATAAGATGACATTGAACACATCACATATAACTTACCACTGAACGCATTATCAGATGAATTAACGGTGCTTCTGATAAAACGAAACTATCATAAAAAGGCGTGTATTGGTCCAAGATTTCTTCATACTTAGTTCTCTTTTTTTACGAGACCTCAGGTTTATTATTAGTTTTCTGGTTGCAACAAAAAACTTTTCAACAACTATCTGATGATTACCTAAATTGTTCAGTTACAAATACGATTCGATTAATAGGTAGTCATAATGATTTATGTGATAACTTCATTAAGAAAACAATAAATATATCATCACCTCGTCGAATTTACTTGCATCACTTGATGGAAGAGAATTATGATTGGAAGACTGCGAAGATGAGAGTGCACTTCCGAAATAATTGTACTCATTATTGTTGTTATGACTGGATCGAGTCATGGACGTCGATGTGGTTGGTGTTGTGTCATGAGCAGTAATTCGTGCTGCAGTTGGTCGCTGCTCAGCATCTTTCTTCGATTTTGCATTCTAAATTCAATCCAATTATTTTGCTAAGCACATCGACGAGCACCACTACGATAAAACGACTCCAATAATATTCTTCTGGAAGCAAACAAACAAGCGCAACCAACGCTTTCGGATCATCGTCAATCACATCATTTCATCTCTCATATGCGTTACTATTTCGTATATTCTCATCCAAAATTAACTTCTCACATCTAGTTCCAGTCACAAATTACTCCTTAAGAAGTAAGCTATCATTCACATAAATCCGTCAATATGAAAGCTGCTTTCCAAAATTCCCAAATCTTTCCCGTTTGAATTGCCCTAAATTTTTTTCTTGTTTCATAATCAGTTATTTCATTTTCTGCACACTTTCGTCCTCTTCTTGATGTAACAACCATCATCTCCACTCCGCTTTCAGCTCTTATCCACTTTTAGTTCAGTCCATTCATCCGTACTTTCTACTGTTCATAATAACCATACTAAATTTACGCAAACGTCCATTTACAAAAAATGCTTAAATGGGCTAAAAAGTTGAGTCGTCATCATCTCATTTTATCTCATCTCTTTTCCGTTGACCCGATCGTTAGTTGAATCATCCAGTAGCAATTTAACAATCTTTGCACTCGCCACAACGTAAGTAATCATGTAGTAGTAATAATAATGTTACCATTATAATACTGATAGTATCACTAATAGTATTATCAATAAGAGATATGACAAGCGTAAGCTGCTGAATAAACAAAACAAGAACCGTATTGACCTGCTAAAAATGTAAATCAATGGCAATACCAAAAAAATATCCCCTAAAAATGCAGTTATTTCGAACGCGTTCAGTTGATTGCTGATTGTTAAACCAAAAACGAAGATAAATTTAAAATATAAATGAAAAAAGGAACATAAAAAGACAGAAGAAGGTTAATTAATCAAAATGGAATTGAATCCAGTTGGATAGTGTTTCAGGAGGAGAAGTAGCACGAATGAACGAGTAAAGAGGAAACGAAGAAGCAGGGCAATTGAATTTGTCTAATGCTTGCACTTAGTGTGCGATCATTGCTTTATCAATAAAACGAACAACTGACAATAGTGTATAATGAACATAAAAGGGTGAAATTGAAAGGCACGCTCGAAATGGGATGATGGACTGAGGCAGAGAAGGTGAATTAAAGCAAACAACTACCAAAGAAGAACAAGAAGCAGTGATGGATTTGTTTGCAATGTTCACAGTGTGAGGTAGATGTGGTTGCGACTGTCTTCTAGTTGCAACTGCACCGGACGATCCATTCGGCAAGCAAGTTGTTGTCGTCTTACGAATATTCTTGTTATTCTCATTACCGCAACTGCGTTCATCAATAACTTCTGAATGCAACTGCATCAACGAAAGTGGAAATGAAGTTGGTCGTCGAACCTCGATTACTGTTTTGGACTGTTTACTACCATCTTCTTCAGTTGTTGGTGCTGATAAAGCAACTCGTAATTGTTGATCAGTTGTTGCTGATACTGATGGTGCATTTCTAACCAATCGTCGATTGATTTCCTTAAAATATTTCTTGACCAATTTTAACAATGAAGTTTGTATTATCACATATAAATGCTAAAAACGAACGTTATGCTAAATCAATACTTATGATATGGTGAATGGTAGCGATGAAATGAAAACAACTTAGCACAAAGGAGAGAACTGCAACATTACAAAAACAATGAAAGATTAGGTGCATTTGTTGAGAAAACTGAATGTGATTAAGAAGTGAATTGAATTATTTGCTATCTGAACATAAACAACATATACATAAACTCAATCGAACAATGTCAATATCACATCATCTGTTCATTCAATATATTCTCATTATTAACGTTATCATTATTATCACTATTTAAATCACAATGGATCGTTATTGCAACTTGAAGTTGCAATGACGATCGTATTCATTTATACAAAAAGACAGTCTTCAGGGACAGCGAACAAAAAGTGACCGGTAAATTATACAATAATAAACGAAAACTTTGTATACTAGCTTCTCATAGTGAGCGGCATTATATAACAATAGATATAAATATCCAATTTGAGACATAAAACAACATCAACAGCAATAGTAATAATAATAATAATAAGAAACAAAAAGATAATGGGAGCGAGATCTTCAATCAAAGAATAGTGCATGATGATAAGAATGAAGAAATGAACGTTCGCCTGGAACGTAACGTACGAAATGCATAATTATCTTTTAATGGACGACTGATTGGCTCAGTGAGAAAAGAAGGATATAGTAAAGAGGAAGAATGAATCAATAAATTAACTGAATTAGTTAATGAATTAATAAATGAATAGACATGCAATGAGGAAAATTATTGAACCAAGATTCTCGTACTAAAAACGAAATGAATTCATATAGTTCTGAATTCGAACCAAAACATCGTGCTAATAACTCGGTGATTGCAGTCAAAATGAACAATGATGCAATAAATAATTTCAGGTGTAAGATGAAATAATCAAAATCCTAAAATATATCCCTTTATGGAAGGCTTTCAAAAAATCCAATTTGTTGTAGCACATAGCAACAAACTCTCCATAAATTAACACAAATCAATACCGCTGATTGGTGCTCCTCTTGCACATCATCATCTTCATTCTGCTCGGTTTTAGAAATGTTATCAGCCATCATGCGCACCTTCTTTTCTTCTTCATTCATCAGTCTGCTCACATCATCCTTTGAAAATTCATTTCGATTTGAATTCATTTCAAACATTCATTCAACAATCTCAATCTAATCCAACCAGACAACCCAACAGCAGTAATATGCGCTAAAAGCAGTAAAGCTAGCATCCGCATCAGCACTTTATTAATCCACAGATAAAGATGCAATTAATAATCGAACAAAATCTCGTTATAATGACCACTGAACATATACCACAATGTTGTTATTTTCCTTGTTGTGCGCCGCGCAAATGATAATTTGAAAAAAAAAACAACATACAAACATAAGGAAAACCAGCCACAAATAATGTTTGTATAAGCAAAAAACGCAAAAAGTTGATGATGAAGCGTATATGTTGAATCAGTAAAATTGCATACCTTGAGATGAGATGAACATAGCGATGATGAAGGTGACCGTTTACTGATATCAGCATGCAATGACGATGAACGATCACCCTTATCATCATCATCTTCATTATCAGGGCTGATATCATCAGCAGCATTCGTTTGGGTAATGCTATTATCATTATCATTGAACGACGCTATCGAAAACGATCGAGTTGTTGTTTGTTTAGTTTCGAATGAAGAATCTTCTGAACCGTTGAATGAGAAGAATTGCTCTTTAGATGAGCACTGAAATGTAATTTTGGGTCGGTGCATAAAAGAAGACGACATACACAGGAGGCACATAATGAGAACGAGAGACGACGGGGTACATTGATGAAGACAAGGCGGGGAGTGAGCACAAGAAGAACGAGCAAAGAAGGGACGACAACACGCTTTTTTATTACAATCAAAATAACTGCTTTTGTTGCTATCATTAACAAACCTCATAACTATTACTCACCTCTTTGCGATGTTTCAGAATTCGCTTTGTTGAAGAACTGGCTGGTTGAGAGGATGAACGATGTTTATGCACGCTTAATTTTGCTATTTCTTCATCTTGCTATAACTTTCAAGCCCATTCTTGTTCATTGGTAATAATTATGAATAACAATGAAAATAGTAACACTATGCACAAAAATAACAATAACAATAATGAAACTGAGTACCAATTGTAGCAATTTTCAAAGCAAAATTCAACAGAACAACAATTGAGAGAAAGCAATTACAAGCTGATTTGTGTTTGGAATATGGAATGCAGGTTTAATTTAGCGTTTATGCGCCCTGAGGACAAACCAAAAATAAACGGCGTAACGCATCGGCAGCGCATAAATTATACCTAGATGCAAACAACTTGTAAAATTCATTACTTTCGTCTTTGACCGTTCGTTCGCCTCTATGAAAATATCTTGAAAAAGATAAATGGGAACGCAGATTAAGTTCAAAAATTTAATACTGAATTCATGAACTAATCGGGGAATAGAAATCGTTGTAACTGCGAACAAACGACCGTACTGAAACGTAACAATTTTACTAAACGCTAAACGCTCAAAAGCTTGGAATGCTCTAAATTATCCGAACGCAAAACAGCATGGTGAGATGATAACGAAGCACAACGGATTAATAAATTAATCTGTACTCTTACAACGATACCGTTATCACGTCCTGTGTAAGCTTCGGCTTTAAGGACGAATACTTTCATGCCAACGTGATATTATTGTAGGATGCTTGAATGACCATATGCGTCATCATCCTCAAATCGTCCAAAACAAATAAATCATGAAAGAAGAAACTCACTCCTCGAAAATCTTTTCGTGTGTCCGCAGATCGTCGTCCCGTTCCACCATTCTCCAGAATCGACGGTGCAGTTGGTGATCTCGTAATCTGAATCATTATTTTCTGATCAAATAAGATTTTCGAACTGAATTCATTTCTCCAGATTTTACACTTTCTTTTCCAATGTTTATGGATATATAAATGATAGATTCGAGCAACTTTTGGGTTACACTCCAAAGAACGGAAATGACGGAACCTACAAGAAGATGGAAGGATTAAATAATTAAGAAAAGAATCAGTAATAATGTAACGAAGAAAAATGAGGTTGAGGGTCGCACAGAAACAAACTGTGAGGAACAACATTAAAAACGTTTGATGGTCTGGTAAACGCAGACAGACGGATAAACTGAGTGAATGAAAATGTTCAACGATAGATGTAAATCAAATTACATCAAAAGATTGTCGCCGTTGTCGTTGTTGACTGTCGTTCATACGCACTCGTTGGTTGTCATTTAAAGCTGGTCTTCTTTTTTCATCAGTCTGAACATCACTTACAGTACTCACTCCGAATAAAAATACCTCGAGTGGTCAACAAACAAATGAACAAATCAAATCTAAACATACCGTATCACCAACTGCGAGTGTTATTTTACCATTTGACGGTATATTTGTTGTGGCTTGGTGTTTGAGAATTTCATTGAACGTGTGTGTGATATGTTCATTGGCTGTTTTCTGGGCCTTAATTGACTCCGACAAATGCACTTCATGTAGAATTTCACGTATGTGTTGTGTCGATTTGTGTGACTGTTCCTTCTGCTGTTGTTGTTGTTGCTGACGAGGAGGATCACTAAGTGACTTATCCTTTTGTTCGGATTTAATACGATCGTCATCAGTTGCTGTTCCAGTGAGGATGTCTTTGATGTGATGTGATGGCGGCGGTCTTTCTGGGCTTGTTTCCTTAGCCTCAACACCAACACTTGCTCGTGCTTGTTGTCTTTTTGCTGCTAATAAACCTTCATCATCATGAACGATTATTAACGAATGTGAGTTATTAGATGGTCTCTGTGAAGTCGGTGATCTGGCTCCCGACAATATCTTTTCATCATCATCGTACAATTCTGAATTTCGAATAATGATTGAAACAAACTCGACTAAAACGATGACTTCCAGTATAAACAAACAATAAACCAACCCGTCGGATCTTCAACTTCAAGCGCATCATCTAAATCCGTCAACGCACGCATCAACGCTGAGTCTGGTGTCGACCTAGCGCGAGGTGCCGGTGTTGGTGACATTTTTTCATGTTCATCCTTAAAGCGATAACAAATCATCTGATTGCAAAGTTCATAAGAACGATAAGACTAACCGCAGAATGTTTCTGTTTCTGTGGTGTACATTCAGTGAACTGCTGTGAATCGTTCGCCACTTTTGATGGTGACGACAGCGACAATAAAGCTTTCTTGCTCCTTATTTGCTCGGTTGGTGATTGCGCACGCGCAACGTTACTGGTCATACCCGTCTCTTGTTCATTGCTTCGCTTTCGTGTTTCCGTAGGTCGAACTTTTTCTTGAGACGGCGCCACAGCACGAGGAGTTCGATCCAAATCCGCTTCTATATCATTCCCATTTTCGAATGCATCATTTTTTCTCGTCACTCCACACTCTAGCATCAAATCGTCGGTTGTTGTTTTTTCGGTGCCATTCAACAACTGAATCAGTAGGGACGATGATCAGTGGTTGATTGGTTGACTTAAATTGCAAGTGAGCAATGAATCAAAATGTGAACCTCCATAATGTCAGTACTCGGGAATCTGATGTCAATCGATGACGAAGTATCATCATCGTCATCGATATCCGACTGCATCACTTCGGTTGTCACTTGCTCGGCATTCATCTCACAGATCAATCTTTTCACACAACCAAAATCACTTTCTTTCGCGAAAAACGAATGCTAAATTAATAAGAATTTCAACATCTTATTCGTATTCGAATATTGCTTCTCATCGAAACAACCGAGGAAGATAGCAATGAAAGGTTGTGATAAGCAAACATACAGCAATAAGGTCAGATGCAGTTGGTCGATTCTGTGGATCTTTAACAAGACACCGCGAGACGATATCTCGAAACGATGATGACCACTGATTAGGTCGTTGTAGAGAGGGTGGATCAGCTTTTATTACCTAGTAATCACTGCTTATTAGAGCAATATCTATATTATAATAATGCCTGAAGGAAGGCGGGCATAGAACTGGTCATGCAAGTTGAATATACACGTACCTTGAAAACCACTTTGGCAGGATTCATTTCTGAATATGGCGGTCTTTCTTCAGCCATCTCAATTAGAGTTATACCGAAACTCCAAATATCCGCTAGTTTGTTATATTTCTTCTCGGGAAACGTCTCACAAAGCATCACTTCAGGTGCCATCCTACCAAATAATCATAAAAACTTTCATCTTTTCAAAAAACTACACTGACTGCACATTCTTGTGCTTCGTTGCAGTTTTAACGAGGAGATTCGAGTCGATTCTAATTCGTTATGTGTTTTGAGATGATTTCATTTGATTTCTTTAATGCTTCTCATCAGCTGCATCACCGTTATCAACACCACTATCAAACCTCACATGAACAGCATATGCGATAATCTTATAACCCCCTTCTTATCGATAATCATCGCATTACCAAATACAGTCAGCTTAAGTGTAAGTTTAACTAACCAATATGGAGTTCCAATGAATGTTGATCGTTCTTCACGTGCATCCTTACAAAACGCTGATACACCGAAATCAGCTATAATCACGATCAGCAATAACACTCACACACAACATATCACAGTTTTATAAAAGCGTCTAAACGACCGCCTAACACAAACAAAACCGAGCAAATTCCAACCTAATTTCACTTTCGCATCATTCGTCAGCAAAACATTTCCAGCTTTCAAATCGCGATGAATCACATTCTTCTGATGCAAGAACTGCAACGCCTTCAGAACTTCCTTCATCACACAATGTATTTGTGGCTCGCTTAAACCCCGAGATAATTCCACCATTATGCTATCGATCGCACCACCACCACAGAACTCTAACAGTAACTGCAAAGTGAACAATGCTGAATGCTTCCAATCGACCTCAACAAGAATTACCTTTAATTAAACGACTGATAACATCAAACAAATCAATTCTTCAATGAACCAATTTACAGTGATTCGATTGCCCATTATGAACGCATCGTACAACTGCACAATATTCGGATGAACACAATTCACTAGAATCTCCACTTCGACCATCACTGCTGCACCTTCATCATCATCTAATTCCATCGCCTTCAACATTTACACATCTTTATCAACCTTCATTGCTTTCAAATTAACACTTCTCATCTCTACATAATGAAATATACCTGTGCTTACAATTGAAATGCTTGCTAATTTCTACCACTTCACTAATTCAATTTAATTTCAATGTTTGTTTCTTTATTTCGCTAACTCATATGCGCATTTACATTATCATCATCCTCATTTCCGTTCATTCAATCCAGTTATCTGTCATCGTTTCCCTGTTTTTTTAAAATTCATTCAAGAATTCACTAACTCGCTCATACTTCACTTCTTTTCACTACAGTTTTAAGCAATTCCAGTGTTCATCTATTGTATATATAACTGATCCAAGAATAAGACTGTTATTATCATTGCTCACTATCATCGAGTGCTAATCGCCAGCATCAAAAACTCGTTCATTGCGGGAATAAACCATTAGTACGTTGCAGTAATCAATGGTGGTTACAAACCATTATTAGTAATTGAATGATCACTCGATACTTAGATAAACGATAACCTTTGCTGCAGCAACTCGCGTAGGATCGGTTTTACTGACAGCCTTATAAACATTACCGAATGCGCCATCCCCGATCACTTCTTTCAATGTCCAATATTCACCCACGTCCGTCTCCAATCTGACTATCGATGGGACATTCTTCACCATCGATTTCTTTTCTTCACCCCGGATAAATTTCTTCAGAAGACCGACAATCGGCATTTCTAATGGCTCTACTTTTGCTCTTTCCAACTGCTATTTTGATGAGGGTTTAGTTGATTATTAGTGATGAGTTGATGAAGCAAGTTGTTATTTGTTTTGTTTCGTTCTTTATCATTCATTCATAAACGATCGTGCGTTCACACTCCTCCTAATTAATTATACATTGCAATGAACACGTGACATATTCCAACAACACATTCTATCATGCGCACAAAACAAAATTTCGATCAAGATTAAACGTAGACCATTTCTATATAACATCACCTCGCCAAAGACAATGTTAATCGGTTACCTCTGCGCTTGATGGTGCGATGGAATTTGATTGGTATTGTTAACTGTCGTAGTTGCTCTCGAACTTGGGTAACTATACGTGCTATAAGAGCTTAGGTACTCATCCGATTCTCATCAATCTTATTTTCTTATGGGAAGGTACTTTTCGTGAGAACCAGCAACCACTTCAGTGATAACCTGTTCGCTTCCGATTTCCTTATGACACTATCATTACTATTGTCGTTCTAATCATTTTAAATCGAGTTAACTCTTAAAGTATGTACTTCTGAATTGTCCACTTAAATGAAAACCAGAACGCTATTAGCTAATTAGTGCGCAATGTCGCTGATAGTAAGGCGATGGAAGATGTTTACGGAATGAAATGAAGAAGTAAGCGAATACATAATCACAACTTCGATAATTTGATTGATTCCAATGAGGAAGACACCAGCTGTTTATTACATTCAATAGAGCAGCGAATATAATATTTGCGATATAAATTTTCTAAAAGAGATGAGATCATTCGTTCATTCGTCTTTCAACATGCTCGTTTCAATAGCTATGAATCACAAGTTGCGGTCGTGCCACATCCAAATAGTTCTATAGATTGATGAATATCAATTTAAAAATATTTGTTCATATATGAATATGAGTGTGTCGGTGTACATTTCAGTATGTTTGAGTTTGCGTTTTATAACGTTTGGCATGCTTGCATTCCACTGCTTTAAACCATACACATTTATAACATTTTTAGACGGTATTTTTTGATGTTGCACGCTATTTACTTGCTATCGGGTTTCTTTCGCTCTCGAACACTTTGTTCCTTTTCAATCAGTTTCTGTTTCTGAGATTCGAGCACGTCATATTAAGCTAGCAGCATGACTCAACATGCACCTAACAAAATTCATTCTATATGATATGAGGGTATGCATGAGCTAAATATTCATTCTACATATCATTTAAAGTTGGTGGGAACGAATGCGGAGTGCGCAATCTTACTGCACTCATATAAATATGATGTGGAATAAACTGAAAAAAGGGGCAATCCATTGCTGTTTCGTATAAATATATTTTTCGAGAGACATGTCAGTAACAGAAATGGAATTACGTTTACTGGCTGTTTCAGTAGTTGAAATTAATTGAGTAATCAGCGGAGACACACTAAGAAATTGGCTGTGGATTGATCTCATTCATAATGGATCGCAATGATGATAACAGGCAATGAACTGAAATAATCAGCACCAGCATAGCGGCGTGAATCATCAGTGGAGTGAACACAAAAGCATGTTATTCATTCAAAATGATGGCTATGGAATAGCGATAATAACTGGTATTTTAAGAGCGTTTCAAGGATAGTTGTGCAATTACCAATCACAGCATCTGCAACATTTTGCGATTCATCAAAATGTCAAACTTTACCATATAATTTGTGTAGTTCAAAGGGCTTATTTGCATGCCAAGCAAGGTAGGTTAAAAAACGAATTGAAACGATCAAATCATGCGTATTTATTAGACTGGTCACGATCAGTTACTGATGAAAAGCAACTACGAGGAGTATGAAATGTCCGTTCACAACATATGTGAACGCCAAAAAAAACTGAAGTAAACAAAACATCACAAAAAAACGATCATTGATAACACACATTGCGCGATAGAAGGGAATGTCATTCGGTTGATGAATGCGTTTCGAACGTTTCGCCACAACCTCCTCTATCCCTACCGAAAATGCAGATGATGTTGCTCCGCCTACAGTTCACTAGACGTCAGAGCGCAGAACTGAATGAAAAATTGGTTCGGTCGAGATCTGATGGGATCCATTCCTCCAGTATGCGAATTTTTCGATCCGAATTTATCTTGCCATTTCTAAGCTTCGGTAATTAACAGAAAGCCAAAAGTTGTGAAAAGGGAACTTCACTGAACAGTGTGTGGATTAATAAGCACTCGATTAATTAGATGCACTTTCAAAGCACATCGATCACTCCACTAATCATGCTACTTAATTTCTTGTCTTCAAGCAGCTCAACCGGAACCATTATAGTGCAGTGTAACTGTTGTCGTTACCCGGAGATGTTATCGATATATATATTTTTAAAAACATCGTCTTTTTACTTATTGCTTCACATTGATTGCTTTCTTCAGGTGTTTTATTCAGTCATTTTTCTATTATGTTACTCTCTATCAGCGCATTCTTTCATAGGTAATGAAAATAGTTTTCGAGTTCAATGTTCTTTCAATTTAATTAGGAATGAATTCAGGAGACGAATAAGTTGATAATTAAATAAATGTACACATAAATTGACACGCTACGAAAAATAATTATTATGATGAGATGACGAACAGAATTACAATAAATATCAACAGTACGAAAGAACAATAAGCACCTGAAGAATCCCAAAAATAATAATAAATAATACTGGAATACTGGAATCGGCCAGGCTATCGAACGTTGTTGACGTTGCTGGCCACAATGCGTTTCCAATCAGTCCTCGACCTTGCTTTCCTTTGCCAGGTCTTACCAATCGCCTTGTCGATCTCGTCTCGCCACCTTTTTGGAGGTCTTCCGAGCGGTCGTTTTTGTTCTCGGGGGTACCATTCTAAAATTGCTCGGGTCCACCTGTTGTCATTCATTCGAGCTACGTGGCCTGCCCATCGTAGCTTCTGTTTCCTGTACTCTGTGATTACGTCTCTTATCCCAGTTCTCCGGCGTATCTCCTCGCATCGGATGTGCTCACGCAACGATATTCCTAACATACATCTCTCCATTGCCCTCTGTGTTGTTATAAGTCGTTGTTCTTCTGTTTTTGTCGTTGCCCACGTTTCGCATGCATAGAGCATCGCGGGCAAGACTGTGCTGTTATACAGATGGGCACGAAGAGATCCATCAATAATAAATAATAGTAATTATTATTTTCACTTATATATCAGTTTGTCTGCAATTATTTATTAACACATTCGTCTTCTGAATGGTTTCTAATTGTAAGTGTGTGCATTATACGACAAATAAGTTCACTTGATCATGTGATTGAACACTTGTGAGCAACTTCACTTCTCAGTGTACCAACGAAGACATTTCACGAATTCGTCGATGAACAGTGCAAAGTGGGTTGTTTGTTTTAACGTGAACTATGTGATTATTGAGTGAAGCAATTCAACCGTACTGAGCGCTACATCGTTACGGCCTACGGTATTTTCATCGTATACTACTACATCTGGCCCACCAGTTGCTCGGTCTATCAGCAGGCACATTTCCGGGATGATATCCTTCGCTTTCGTCGAGATCTCTGATTGCATCTTCGTTAATAATTGTTCTCATTCATCATTCATCTTCACGTCTCTCTCATCCTTCATTACTATCATCATCTTGCTCTAATATCACAACCAATCAAATCCCAAACTGATACGATCGTTATGATCTCATCTGTTGCTCATCACCATATTTATTTGATTTGTTTATTTTCTGCTTGTAATATATATGTTAATAAACACACAATTATGAATAAAGTAATAACAAATGAGCAAACAACGAAATGAATTAATGCATAAATATTGTTTATGTTTATAACATCTTCGTATCGTTACAGTCAATCAGCTTTGCCAATTTCCGTTGGTTTGTTTCTGTCATCCATATCTATCCAGTTATTGACTGAAATGAAATGGGATTTCAAAAATCTGAAAAGAGAATATATAATAAGATGTACGTCGATGAGTTGTAATAAATAAAATCGAATAGAAATGAAATCAACAGATTGTTAAAATGAGATCGATGTTCCGCAGCAACTACGTCGAATAACCGAGTAAAGTAATTCTATTTCACACATATGAACAATGAATGATGAAAAATAAAGGGTTATTTGTTTGTTGATATTATAATGACACAAAGAAATAACGCTCCAATGTAGCAACAATCAATGAATAAATGCAATCTCAATAACATCAGCTTTATGCACATTTCGTATATTCTCCATCCTTCTTCTTCTTCGAATGATGATCATCTTAAATTCATTGATGGCTCAATGAATGATAAATCATTGAGGAACGAACGCTTATTCGTACAAATACATTATGGAATCTATGAAAAAACCAAACATCCTATAAAATTATTTCATACCAGTATCGATGGAAGTGTAAAGCTTGTGTGGCACTTACTGAGAAATTATACCAAATATGGCTGAGATTAGATCATTAATATTAATCCGCATTGCAGCTCAATAATGTCAATCGAGAGTCTCACCTGTTTTATAAAGGAGCAATCAATGAGTGAATCACTAATGAATATGATTTCGATGTTAGTTTTATAGAGAGTGATTGAAGTACAGAATCAATTTACTGATCAATAAATCTCTCTTAATTGTAAAGCATCGTCGGAAGCAGATACGTATATCACGCATCAACAAATAACCTAAGAACGATGCATCAGCTTCATTGAAATATTATACCATTTTAGACTTATGCACTGGATAATCTCCTTTTAATCATCCTCTTCGTTCCATCCGATCGGTCGGTTCTGGTGCAGCCTTATTCGTGCGCTAACCTTACTCTTACAAGACCTCTGTATCCTCGTTTTTCCTTCTTCTTCTTCTGCTGCTGCAACAACTGAAATTGCTTGCAATCAAGCAAATAAATAATATCATTTCATTATTCTAATAATTCATTAATTCATCAACACATAATAATTGTAAATTAAAAAATCACTTCAATAATATCACTTTTAGGTATAACTCTCGACTTCT